CTCAGAGGAGACCAGCTTTAAGCCCGAATCATTGACTAGACGATGCACAAATAGGGCGATTAGCCAGGTCTAAGCCAACAGCAGGAGCACCTGTGCATAATCCGAGTGAGGCACGGCACCTGGTGGGGGTTGGGGGGCAGTGGAGCCTCTGACAGATGTGTAGAGACCATGGGAGAGGACTCCTGCCTGGTTTGACAGCTCTCAGGAGTTCTCCAGGATCAGTTATCTGAGTCAAGCAAATGGGTCCTCACCCATGTTGTCGATACTCCTTTGCCTCATTGTTTACCACATGTCTCAGGCGTACTAAGCCTGAGACAATTGCTAATAAAGCATCAGAGCTATTGCAACACACACCCAAAGCAAGGAGCGGGGTCTGCAAACCATTACCCGCAGGGTCCTGTGGAGCTGGGCTGGAACCGTTTTGAGAGAAGTAATGTAAATGATGTCCCTATTGCAACAAAAATCTAAAATACACAGATTTGGTAAGGCTGGTAGGCAGTCCCAAGTTTGGTAACTGATGCTGGAGACCCCTGTTTGGCTGAGTTATTCCCCATTCAGTAACAATTCACTGGCGACAGACCCCCCACAGACTTGGAAAGTTAGAAAAGAAAATGCTGTGTCTGGCTGCTCTTGGCGTCTTTCCCACAAAGTGCTATGAATGAGCTAAAACAAGAGAAGAACTTGTTTACCTGTTGGTTTCATAGTTCAGTTACAGGTGCCACACCTATGTCCTACCTCTGTACGCCCAACAGCACATCCGGGGCAGAGACAATGGGTCAGCTCAGAAGAGATCAGAAGACAAAGGCACAAAGGGCACTGTGCTCCCACTTAAACTCACCGTTCCAGGTTTCAAAGAAGGTGCCATCAAAATGAGGGAAGAGGCATGGCCCAGCAGCTGAGACTAATACCTCAGATGATCCTGGCTTTCCAAGCTATGATAGGAGTAGCCCTTTAGCTGTGGTTACTTTCACCTGAACTGAAAGCAAACAGGCCACAAAAGGAGAGAGAGAACGAAAGGGAATGCTCTGCCACAGAGGCAGGGTGGGATGGGGGGGGAGGGATACTGGGATCAGTGGTGGTGGAGAATGGGAACTGGTGGAGGGATGGGTGCTTGATCATTGTGTAACTGAAACCCAAGCACAAAAATTTGTAAGTCTACAACTGTAAAGTACAACTGTACTTCATGGTGTTTCATTAATAAAAAAAAAGAAAGAAAGCAAACGGGCCAGAAACTTGCCACTTGGTTGGGTTAGGGGAGTGTTTGGGGACCCAGAGAACCGCTTGGGATTCAGTCAACAGTGTTTAGGGGGGCTTGGGATACCAGGAGTTGAACCCAGGATCTCACACATGTATGACACAGGCTTTCCCGCCTGAACCACATTCCCAGCCCTAAACCTACAGTGTTGTTTTTGTTCTGGAGCCACACCTGGCTGTGCTCAAGGTTTCCTCCTGGCTTTGTGTGAGGGATCACTCCTGCCAGTGCTTGGGGAACCATACAGGGTGTCAGGGATCAAACATGGGCTGGCCTCATGCGAGCATCCTGTCCGCTGTACTGTCTCTCCAGTCCCCCACAAATCGACTGTGTTTTCAATGTAAAGTTGTCACCAATGTTGTGAGCATCCTTCAGATGGACCAACCCCCCACCAATTCCAATTTTGCTTCAGATGTCAGATATACTAAGAACCACATACACACACATAAGAGGGTATGAAAAAGTTTATTATTCACAGAATGAACCTCTCTGGGGAGAGCACGGCAGTTCCAGCAGACTCTGAAACACCTGGACTGGCTTGGCTCTGTTGTGCGTAGGGTCTGGTTTGGGGCAGAGGGTTTCAGTGCAGACCACCAAGGCTTGTGTGATTCAAACTTCCCACCCCACCAAAGGAGGTAGCCCCAAGGCATTCTAGGTAGCTTGCCTAGACAGGGAGAAAGGACAATTGCTGGAGAGGGGGCCCAAAAAACTGGCAGAAGCATCGGAAATGGAACTGAACCATCACAGCCAAATAAGCTATTGTCTTGCCCATAAAAGCCCTTTGCTCAAGCCCCAAGGCCATCAAGAACTGCAACTCTGCACAGCCTCCTGAGTTTGAAAGTGGGGATGTCCCCAGAAGCATCCAATGTGGTGAAGCAGCAAGAATTTCCTAGAGGTTGAACTAGAGACAAAAGGCAACAATGGACAAAGGAGTTTCCCCCAAAGAACAGATTCAAAGCTTAGTCAAGGACTTAATTTGCTATCTGGCTGAGGACCGCTGGCCTTTCCAGCCCACTAGTTTCTTTTATGGCCATTTTCCTTCACAGATGGCAACCCATCATACTTGCTCAGTACTCTATAGCCATTCTTCTCAGGCTTTCTTTCACACTTGAGTCCTGCCCTCAGATTTTTATTTAGCCCGACATCTGCCTACCTCATTGGAGAGAGCATGCCCCAGCCTTCTTTGAAGCTGGTATCGTTATGAAATCAGGACTAACCAATGGATCAGGAGCAGAAGTGCAGATGAAATTTCTCCAAGAGGAAACAACTTGCTTCCAATGACTTCTCTTTTTCACTGAGTGCTAATGGATGCGCTGCTTCTTCTTTTTTTTTCTTCTTTCGGTTTGTGGACTACACCTGGTGGTGCTCATGGGCTACTGTATCCAGCTGTGCTCAGGGGACCATGCAGTGCCAGGGAAGGAACCCAGGCCTGCTGAATGCAAAGCACGTGTACCCTTCTGTTAGGTTCTCTCTGGTCCTGGATGTGTTTGTGGAGCCAGAATTGGCCATGGAACATAGAAACGAGAGGACAGTGGGGGAGAGAGGTCAGGAGTCCCTTGCTGATCAGATAAAAGAGCTGTCCCACCTGCCCTGAACTTTTCAGCTACCTCTGGCTTCTTATGGGAGGGAGAAACAGACATCTCTTTGTCAGCTGTTGTATTTGGGGACCCCCATCACCACTTACACTTCTTATTTATACAAAAGAACAAACATCAAGAAGTTAAGCTTCTTCACCTTTTATGATTTTAAAATCGTCCTCTTCCTGTTCCTTCAGATTTTGTCTTTTAGTGACAAGAATCTGAAGGCAAGTAAGATTTTAAAACTATGTGTAACCTTATCAACTCACTGTGCTGTTCATGATGTCAAAATAAATAAAGAAATAAAGAAGGGGGTGCTGGAGTGATAATACAGTGGATAGGGCATTTGCCTTGCTTGCAGCCAACCCGGGTTCGATCCTTGGCATCTCATATGGTTTCCCCCAAGCCCTGCCAGGAGTAATTACTGAGTGCAGGGCCAGGATTAACTCCTGAACATTGCTGAGTGTGACCCAAAAAGCAAAAAAAAAATTTTATATATACGTATATATATAAACTTTATAGATATGCATATATACATACACATATCTGTATGTATATACATATATATACACATGCATATACATATATCTCAATCTACAGAATGCAGTCATATATACTCTTTGGACCTAAAAAGCAGCTTTTGATTAATATATATGTTCAACTTCAAACTAATCAATGATATCATTGTCAGTTTCTCTTTTTCCCAATTCATGTATCCATGTACCATTTTATCTACCCTCTATCATCATTCGGGTACAGATAAATGGAGAAAGTAAGCTTCATTTCCTACAACGTGAAGCAAAGATGATTTTCTCTGATTGCTAGTTTCGCATCACTCTGTATTTCAGGGTGCTTCATGGTGTTGCTAAGACAACAGCAACGCTGCGACAGAAAGCTGGGACAGGAGGCAAGGCACTGCAGCTGCCTCAGTGGGGTCAGAAACCTTGTGTTCAAGGCCGTGTTCACAGTGATACCAGGAATGCCTGAGTCAAAAAGGATCGTACTCATCCACCAGGAAACACTAGCTCTGTTCGATTCTCTGCATTCTAAAAATAAAACTAAATGGACCCAAACCCAGGAAAACATCACTTCACTCAACCCTGAAAAATTAACTGAGGGCAGCATATCATTAAATGCCAGTTTGTCTTGATTCCAACAGAAGCATGTTCAAGAATACCAAAATCCCCAAAGCAATGATGCCATCGGCCGTTCCTCCACTGAAAACATTTATCTCTTCTACACCTAGGCTTGACTCTCCCGTGACACACACAGTAGGTGTGCTATTCAGTGAGACCTGTGAGTGATATGTGGAATTTGAGCTCCTGGCCTCCTCCGTGAGCTTGGAATCAAGGCACGGCAGAAATGTGAGCTGCGTTGTTGCATCTCTGGGTTCGGCCAAGCACAGTGAACTACTGCAGCGATTTTCTGGTTTTAACCTTGAGATATTGGGGCAAGAACAAAGAAGATAGAAATGAAGTGCTTGAACTGCTTCTGAGAATTATTTTCTGACCTCAGAGAAAAAAAGCTAGTATTTAACTCAGCCAAGAGGTGTACTTTGCATCATGACCATTCTACTGCACAGAAATGGAGTCTATCCAAAATAACACACACAAATGACTATGCGGAGTGCAGGCTCTTTAGAACCAGGACAGGCTGGTCAGAACCGATCTCTGACTTTTAAAAAGTAATGTGGTGCAGGCCAGAGAGCTAGTACAGAGGTTAAGGCCCTTGCCTTGCCATATATGGTTCCCAAGCACAGAGCCAGGAATAGTCCTGAAACACCCCCTGGTGTGTCCCCCCCCAAAAAAAAAATTAAAAGAAAAATGAAGCAATCGATGAAAATTAATGGATAAGTGAAGTCAAGTGCTGAAGACAGGTTTTCCCAATCTTTGGGGCTTCCTCATTGAGGAATCCCAGAACACAGCACTGGGATGAGCGTCAGAGAGTCTTTTCCCAAGTAGGAGTCATGAGATGCTCTCTTACTCTCTAGCAACACAAACCACAGATGGACAGTGAGGTCAAGACTTGTGCAAGAATACTGTCTCCAGGTCAAGGTTCAGTCTAACAGAATCAAGTAAAACACAAAAGACCCCCCCCCCACACACACACACACACATACACCTTTTTTAGAAAAACAAAAAACTGGTGTTCTAAGAATTAAAAAAAGCAAATAGAAAAGAACACAGATCACTCTATTTAATCATTTTAAATAGCATAAATCATAATAGTTTGTATACTACACTGTACAATTATATATTATTAATTTTCAAAGAAAAATTTCTTACAGGATTTGCTGAAAGTTATTCCAAACAGCTAAGAGCTTGCCTCTACAGCCATTGCTACGACACCAGGAATAATCTAGAAGGCTCTGAGTCTTCTACTGTGCCTGTTTCTGCCGTCACGGAGGAGCAGGGCGCCACTGCGAGACCCTGTGAGCCCCTTCCATCTCCTGCGCTGAGAAACAGCCTCTGCAGGTCGACGTGCCCATTGGGGCGGCTTCTGTGCTTTGCTTTCCAGGAGTCTGCTCCCCTTTAAGAGAACTTGCGCTTCTTCAGGGCTTCCGCCTTGACTGCCAGGCTCTTGGCACAGATGGTTAAGACCACAATGAGAACACCCACCACAAATGTCACCACTGGCCAGAGGAAGCAGTGCAGGAGGACGATCTCATCATGCGTGCGATGCAGGAGCACGTCGTCCGGCCTATGTGACAGTGGACAACAGGAAGAAAGGGGTGGTCAGTGGCACTGCCACGCAGTAATCCAGGTAGCCATGGAACTAGTGGAGCCCAACTTGCTTTCTCATCCAAGGAATGCTCCTCCTGGAAAGGGAAGCCCCGCCCCGACAGATTCATTACAGAAAGGTCTGGTGTACTGATGAGGTCACTGGTGTGAGTCTGCATACTATCCATCATTTACATGGTGCAAAATGTGAAACCGTGGAGCAATCTCCTAAGTGACCTTTCCCATCCTTCTCAATTGCTAAAAAGATTCCACCTTCTCACTCGCTCTTTAATGTCTGCCACTCAAGGCAATTTGTATCAAATCTAAAAATTCCTTAGGGTTGACTACTCTTAGCCAAATTCAAACTAAACCTCAGAACGCAGGTCTAGGGATGTAAGAGGAAGCTCACCCTGAGGCTGAGAGATAGTACAGCAGTGACTGCACATTTATAGCACGTGCTAACACAGGCTCAACTCCTGGTCTTATGTGTCCCTTCAACGTGACTAGGTGTGGCACAGGATGTTCCCAGCATTGCTGGGATAGTCCAGTACCCACCCCCCGCCCCAGTACTGCAGGGCTGAGAAGTATCACATCCTCAGGCACAAGTACTGAAAGATGTGCCAGAATAATGGGTCTTAGGGGGTAGGGGTACACGGCCTCTCAAGCACAGCTAGGGAGCTTCCCACACCTCATGCCATTGCCACACAAGAAAGATCACAAATATTAAGTAATTATAACTCATATACACATGTGTGCATGTAACCCTAAAAATTAACACTCTTTACATCTATCCAGAAAAAGAAACTATGATTTAACCTTCAGGTCAACTCAGTACCATTACAAAAAGGTATGTTTTAGTAATTTTAGTAACAGCAAGGGAATAATGCATTTTTTCCCACACTGGGAGGTGGTGAGAAAGGAAACCTAGCCATCATTTTTAACTACTGATCACCTTCTTGATACATTTTGCAAAGTCTTCACAATATATTTCTATGTCACCAATGCAGGGATCTATTTTCAATGCCAGCACAAACCAGCACAAACCATTTACAGGAAGTAAAGGAGATACGTTCCACAATCCATGATCTTTTTGCTTATCAGAGAGAAATCCTGGGGATTTAGCTTTATAAAAATGGTTTACTATATATACACAACAAAATACTATGCAGCCCGAAGGATAAAACAAAATCATGTGATTTTCAGAAATATGAATGTAAACAGAGGATATCATGCTGAGTGAACTCAGTCATAAAGAAAGGGACAGATATAGAATGGTCCCTCTAGTGTGGGGGGGGGGCCTTAGCAATATAGAGTAAGGTAGCAAGAAAGGGCCAAAGATAGCACAATGGGAACACTGATCACACAACTGAGTTGGTTATGAAGGAAGCTGGGGAGTTGAAAGGGAGGGGACTGGGGTTCCTGGGGGGAGGGAGGTGAGTACATGATGATGGGTATTATACTTAGATGCATGAGAATCCACCAATAACAATATTGTAAATCACAAAGCATCAATCAATAAAAATAAATTTAATATGTTAATGGGGTTTGGGGGGGCTGGAGAGATAGTGCAGTGGCTAAGGCAGTTTCCTTTATACACAGGTTTGATTGCCTGGCACCCCATATGACCATTCCCCACACCAAGCTTCACCAGAAATGAACTCTGAGTGCAGAGCCTGGAATAAACCCTAAACACAGCTGGTATGGCCCCCAAATTAAAGGCAAAACAAACACAAAAAATGGTTTTCGGGGGCCTGAGAGACAAGACAGAGGGAAACTGCTTGCCTTACACACAGCAGATCATGTTTGATCCCCAACACCATATATGATCCCCCAAGCCCACCAGAGTGATCCCTGAGTACAAAGCCCAGAATAAGCCCTGATGGGTGTGGCCTAGAAACAAAAAAAACAAAATATTATTTGGAAAAGAGAAGGTAGGTGGAGGTTCTGGTGGAAGGTATGGCGTTGGAACATGGTATACATGAAAACCTATCATCAACAGTATTATAAACCACACTGCCTAATATTTAAGAAATTTTTTTAATTTGAAGTTTATATTTTACAAGATATTCCACTTTTATACATGATGTCCTACTATATACTAGTAGTGTTTCCTCAAAAAAATGTACAAAAATGATTGTCAAATAGTACGTCTAATTCAAGTGTTCTCAGATGTTTTAAAGCATATGGACAGTGTATTTAACAGAAAACATATTCCTGAAGAACTCCCACTAATCAAAGTTCTCATAATTCACGGTCTATTTTCCCAAAAGACTGACAAAAGATAATGGGTATTTCACTCCTACCTATAATGCCACAGTTAGGTGGCATTCAATGTTTTGAAGATTGATTTTGAAATGACATAATCCTGTCCCGCTTTGGTATGCCTAATGTCATTTCACATTTCAAACATAAAGCGAGATTTTAAAAATGGACATTTCATCATGCAATTTGCAGCAACATGGATGGATCTGGAAGGTATCATATTAAATGCTATGAAAAAGGACAAACACAGGATGGTATCACGTACATGTAGTATTTAGAGTAAGTGGATGAAGAAATACAGTGATTTGAAGGGGCTGGATGCCTAGATCATCCTGGGCTCCGGAGTTTAGGAAGGAGAAGAAAAGAAACAGAGTGAAAGAGAAGGGGAGAAGAGATAGATGAAAGGCAATGGGGCAGGGGTCAAGGGGACTCAGATACAGGGTGTAAAGCAATGACTAAGCTAAGTATTCAAAACACAGAGTGGACAATTCTGAAGTCGTGAGACCCAAATTTGAGTAACAAGATTTAAAAGATACCTGTCAAGATGGTAGACTGGGGCTGGGGTTGGGGGTTAGGAGAGGGAATCTGGGAACACTAGCAAAGGGAAGCTGACAACTATGTCAAAAACCCAACGATGAACAACTTTGTAATTCATGGTGATTTTTCAAAATAAAATTTTGGAAAGAAAAAAGTTTCATTTCATATTACTTCAATAATATTTGAACATTATTAATTTAAATGACTAGAGTCATTGTAGCTAATAAGCAAAAAAAAGCATTTTAGTTTATGGAAATTACTCCTTTTTCTGAATTTCTGCAGCAACAATCTTTAAGACTTACATGATTTGGGACAAAAGGATGTAACTGGTTAGTATCTGTGTTCATGTCCTGGCACAGAGTCCCCTGAATATTGCTCGCTGCAGCCCTGGAGGTCCCTGAGTAACACCATGCATGGCTCTGCAGCCCCCCAGCATTGATGGGGTGACCTGGGGATCACGTGGGGATCCCCGGCACCACGGGGCTGAGCAGAAAGACATCCTGGGCCCTTGCATTGACCTGAGAGCCTGGGTGACTGAGAATGAAAAGTGGGACCTCCGGGCTTCCTGCTTACATCTTGGTAGGGCAAAACAATAAAAATAATGAAACAAAAATGAACAAAACAACAAAAAGTCGTAAGCTCTCATGTATTCTTGATACGTATTCATGTACATGATACATATCATGTATTTTTGATACGTATTCAAGGGAGACATCCATGACATTGGCAACTATCGCCCGATCTGCCTATTGTCTGTCATCTACAAGTTGTTCACTCAAGTCATCCTAAATAGGATTGGTAGAACACTAGATGAAGGACAACCATGCGAGCAAGCCGGGTTCCGCAAAGGATTCAGCACCATCGACCATATCCACACGATAACCAAGCTCATTGAGGTTTCTCGGGAGTTCAAGATGCCGCTCTGTTTAACGTTCATTGATTTAAAGAAGGCCTTTGATTCTGTTGAGACGGAAGCGGTCATTGAAGCCCTAGCCAATCAGGGCATTCAAGCCCAATACATCAGGATCCTCCGTGAGCTGTATTGCGGATTCACTACCAGGATCTCACCATTCTACAAAGAAGTGATCGTTGATGTCAAGAGAGGAGTGTGGCAGGGTGAAACCATTTCACCGAAACTCTTCAGTGCCACCCTCAAGAACATCATGCCATGACTGGAATGGGAAGGAATGGGAGTGAAGATAGATGGTCGGCAACTACACCACCTCCACTTTGCTGATGACATTGTTTTAATAACACCAAACATCAGCCAAGTGGCACAAATGCTGGCCGACTTTGACCGTGAGTGTGGAAAGGTAGGACTACAGCTGAATCTTACGAAGACAATGTTTATGAGAAATAGCCTCGTTACTGATGCCCCATTCGCTCTCAACAGAACGACCATCTCCGAATGCAACAGCTATGTGTACCTAGGTCGAGAAGTCAACATGACAAATGACCTGGCACCCGAGCTGCGCAGGAGGAAGAGAGCGGCTTGGAACGCCTTCAAGAACGTCGAAGAAATAGCTAAGAGGACGAAGAACTTCCGGCTCCGGGCACATCTCTTTGATTCCACTGTTCTTCCTGCATTAACATATGCCTCAGAGACCTGGGCCCTATGCAAACAAGATGAGAACGCTATTCAGGTCTCCCAAAGAAGAATAGAAAGAGCTATGCTTGGAATATCACGTTTCACTCAAATGAGAGAAAAAATCTGGAGTTCCGACATCCGTCGATGATCAAGAATCAGGGACGCTGTCTCATTTGCCAAGGTGTCAAAAATCAGATGGGCTGGTCACGTAATGAGATTTAAAGACGACCGCTGGACTAGAGCTGTTACCAACTGGATTCCACGGGATGTCAAAAGACCGCGTGGCTGCCCACCTACCAGATGGTCAGACTTCTTCATCAAGATCATGAACGATCGGTTTGAGGCTCTTCATGTTCCCAGAGCGAACAGATGCCATTGGGCTACACTAGCACGCACCAGGGACAAATGGAGACTTTACTGGCGCCTGCTCGAGCAAATCGACGACTAACAGGAAGTTAATTGATCAAGTGATTTAAGTGATTCATGTACATATTCTCATTGGATTACCTCTTATGACAATATTGCTCAATAACACTGCTACTAATGAGTGAGGGGAATGCCTTGCAAAATTATTGTTCATGCAAAATTTCAAG